GAGTAGGCTTTACTGGGTCTGGTTTGTAACTGCAGGTTGTTATGTAAGTCAGATGTTCCTAACCCAGCAACTACCTGTAGTGGACTTTTATAAGCTTTTCTACAGTAAGCGCACATCAAGCCACTACCACTTCAGGCTCTAAAAAATTAACTGCAATGTATGGCACAACTAAAAAGATTAATAGTGACCAAAGGTCTCAATTTACTGGAGCTCTTATCTAACAATGGGCTGAAAACCGGTATCAGTTGGCATTTGCATCTGCCCTGTAACCCCCAAGGGGCAAGGTTATTCAAAAGGAAAAATGGCTACCTGAAAAAATAATTCCCTGATGGGTCTACCCACCTTGTGCCATTGGGCGGTACTTCTCCCTGAAGTCCTGAAAACACTAAATGAACGTCCCACCAAGGGAGGATGGTCTCTGTATGAGCAACTAAGCATAGAGCACTACCCAGGTAAGTCTACAGGTAGTCCCTGACTTACAATGGGGTTCTGTTCTGACAAATCAGTTGTGTAAGTCAAATCCCTCATTTTTTTTTAAGTTTTCATTATTGCCTTATATCATCAGTATCTTTAAAAATCATATACAACATTGAACATCTGAGAATAACATCAGTATATTATGCACAGCGACACTGAATATAGTACATATTATTAACAATAAGATGTAAAAACTACAAAGATGGCTGTTAAGTGCAGTTCATAATTTGCATAAGTTGTAAGTTGGGGATTATCTGTATTAGGCTATGAAAGACATCAATCACCAGCTTTGTTCACATGGAAACTGGACTCTACAAAATGAATGCTGTAACTTAGAACTTGGATAACCATAAACCCCAGACTGAAGAAAGTACATTAGGGAGTGGGTGGGATTCTTACTGCCCATAAGGCAAGAGGATTTCCCCTTTAGCCTTTGACCCGATGTTCCACAGTGGCTGAGTTCGAGACAAGTGCGTGGCCAGCCTCCCCTATTAACTACTACTACATAGAGACCTCCTTAGGTGCAAGGTGCAGTACACCCAGTCGAGCAACACCCCACAAGCCACCAAAGTTTTGACAGGAAGTGGTAAGTTACATATTAATAGAAAATAATGATTGCCCCATGTAAGTGACTAATAAGTTTCTTTCTTTCCACTAAAAGCTTAATCAGCCTTCTTTTTCCCTGGGCCCCAGCTAACGTTGTTTAAAAAAGGAAAACAAATTCCTGTCCTGGGTGTGCCATGCTGCCAAAATAGCAAACGAGTCTGTTAGAGTGCCAAAATTAATGCCTCTTAGCAGCCAAGGAGGATCCCCATTAAAAGGCCAAGATTGTGGTTCACTCTTGGATAACTGAACAAAAAAATTTAAATAGTATGTTAGCACAGTGGTATTATTAAATATACTACATATACACAGGGAGTAGATGTCACCCTTCCCACGCACAGGATAACCTTCCCTAGTCTGGCCTCACAATGATAAGCTATGGATACAAATTTTACAAAGCCTAACAATGTAACCTCCCAACAATGGGGTCATTACCAGCAAATATGGGATAGATTCATGTGGTTAATACACCAGTAGCTGGTATCATGTAACACCAATGAGGAGTGCTGAGAACAATATAACCATACTAAAGACAAAGAGCCTGGCAATGCACATTATATGGGGGAAAAAAACCATGACATTGGTGAAAGCCACCACTTGCGTACAAACCTCCAACTGGTATGCCACTGATTAGGGCCGGTGACCAGAAATATTCTAGATAACCCATAACAGGTTATATGGCTATATGGCACTAATCTCTGGCCTTGGCTGTCCCTTTTTTGTCTGGGTAGATACATTCTAGGCTTTCTTTGGATCCATTCCTTCGTATCAAAGGTTACACCAGTCCTTTAAGACAAACCCATTTTGAGGGGGCAGTGGAATAAATGGTCTGTATTTTCTTAGTGGGATTACTTACCTGCTGTTTTTACTTCTAGTAGCAGCAATATCAATTTTATGACCAAAACTGATACTTTAAAAGTCAGTCACCGCTGCCCTAAACACTAAATATAAGCTCTCTCCTCTTAATGCAAAAAACTGCCGCCATGGGAAAGGGGATGCTCTACAACAAAATGACTTTGAACATAATGGCAGTCTAGGGAGCACCTGTGCTTTATTAAAAATTAACTGTAGTATACAAGTAGCTCTGGTGGCATAGTGCCTAAGGTATTTTGGCTGCTAACCAGAAGGCTGGCGGTTCAAACCCACCAGCCACTCCTCGGAAGGAAGCCTGGGCAATCTACTTCCGTAGTGATACTGCCTTGGAAATCCGAGGAAGGGTCGCTATGAATCAGATCTGACTCGACGGCAGTGCGTTTGGTTTTTTATAGATATACAGGCAGCTCCAGAGTTGTGATCATCTCTTAAGTGTGAATTTGTAGGTAATTCAGAACAGGTGCATACAGTTCTTATTTAGCCTTACTTTGGTGCAGGGTCTAGTCCAAACCAGTTTAGTCATGACCAATGAGGCTGAATCAGAACAGACTCGAGTTTTTTAATTTGGGTGAAGCAGAACGGTAAGTGGAACAGGAAAAGTTACAAGTCGAAGCCCGGGAATGGAAGACCTGGGAGAGGTGCCCTTTCAGGGGCCTGTTGTGGGAGACTGGATTACTGTCAGGGCTGTGGGGCATGAGTTCAAAGAGGTACAGTCAGCCACCACCTTAGAGCAGGGCATGGCTATTCCCACTTTTGCTGCTTAAGCAATCTGGTTGCTATGCAATATGCACGCCGTCCTTTTCTAAGAGAGAGATTAATAATAGCTGAACATCAACCTATAATTTTTCCCGTTCTGGTTATCACTCCAGTTCACCCACATTTTACAAATTGTAGTCTGGTCTGCTGTCCTTTCATTGGCCATGAATCAATCAGGACTACTGGCTGGAAGTCCTGTATTAGTTCAACAAAAGCCTTAAAGTCATTTCAGTGGTTTTAAGTTGCACGTGCAGCAAGTGAAAATGACTGATGAAATAGGAATTGGTTTAATTATTTCCAAGTGAGGGCAAATTTACATAACATTAAAGGGCAAGTGGGAGTTATCCAGGAGTTTCCTAACCCTAGGGCTTCTGTAGTCCCTATAATGCAGCCCTTATGTACTTACAAACCCAATTAGGTGGTATAAAACACATAAAAAGAACACTTGGTGGGCAAAAATCAAGGGGTGGTTCTCTGGGTGGGAAGCCTGGTAGAAAACCTTGCTATTTGGACTTTTTTTTAAAAATCGAAGTAGGTAGAACTGTTTTTATGCACTTGTTTATATTGATGATGTTTTAGTAAGTTTAAAAAGGAGCCCCATACTTGCTCTACCCCATCCTACAGAATCAGAAAATCTCATGAAAGAAGTGGACACAGGAGATTTTAAGAACTGGACAGAAAGAGAATTGTGTAGGGCTGAGACAGCCAACACATATCCCACCCACAAAAGACTCTGGGAGTAAACGAGAGTAGCCGATTGGTCAATAATGTTATCACATACTTAAACAGTTCTACTAAACAGATGCTCCTCCACCCACGAAGCCAAGAGCTATAGATTAACCTTTAAGAAGACATTCCTTAGAACTGTTTCTAAGGACCCAAACAGTTTGAAGTCCTACAGCATGCAGTCACATCTCTTTCTCTCTCTGCCTGCACTCACTCTCAGAGTATGTAAACTATATTAGCACAAAGACACCCCCCCCCTCCACAGACATAACCCAGGTGATTCTTCCCAAGCTTCATAGTGTTTCTCTCTGTGCATAAGTTTCTTCTAATTAAAAACTTTGGACTGATCTGGCTTTCAGTGCCTTTCTTCAGGATCCACACTGAATTGTTCTGAGGGCAGTTCAGAGCCATAATATCCTCCAGCTCCCACCTTTGAAACTGCCCCAGCCATTACTCAAGACAACAAAACAATACTGCAAAAACACAGAGATGATTTGAATAGTCAAAGGGGATATTCAAATGACCAATAAACACATGAAAAGATACTCAACATCATTAATCATTAAGGAAATGCAAACCAAATGAGATACCACTTCACAACCACTAGGATGACTGAAAAATAACAACAAAACCAAAAACTGGAAAATAATAAGCACTGGCAAGGATGTGGAGAAACTGGAACTCTCAGACACTACTGGTGAAAATGAAAAATGTTACAGCCACTGGAAAACAGCCTGGCAGCTCCTCAAAAAACTAAACATAGAATAATTCCATCCCTAGATATATATATCTAAGAAAACAGAAAACATATTCTCACAAAACCTGTACAAAGCTGTTCACAGCAGATTATTTACAATAGCGAAAAAAAGTGGAAATAATTCAGATGTCCATGGGTGTATCCATACAAAGGAATATTATTCAGCCATAAGAAGGAATGTAGTACTGACACCTGCTGCAACATGGATGAACCTTGAAAACTGATGCTACATGAAAGCAGCCAGACACAAGAGGCCACATAGCGTATGATTCTATTTCTGTGACTTACCACTATTCCTCTAAACAAATAACCTACCCTTCCTCCAATACTCATTATCCCAATGAATAGTTCCATCCTCCCGGTTCCCCAGAAACCAGGATGTTCTCCCTAACTCTTCCCTTCCCCAACTTCATCCAATCACGTCTTATTCTGTATAAACATCTCTTAGACTCAATTCACTTCTCCTTAGCATCTAGATTAGGAAATTAGTCACTTAAATTATTACATCATATTCCTAGCCTGCCTACTTGCCTCCAATCCAGTTACCCTCACCATATAACCTCCTTGCTCCCATTTTATGCTTCAACGATTCTGACCCACTTAAAAGAATTTTAGTTCTAGGCACTTACCAGATGCCAATGCCTGTCCTTGTCCTTTAGGTCTATGCTAACATGTACGTTACCTCCCCTTTCAAGTCTTCCCTGACCATTCCATGGCCTGGTTACATGGTCCTCCCTCAGGTTCCTTGAGCACCCTGCACATACCGTCCTGTATTGCAATAGCCTATTTACTTGTCTGTGGTTCTCACCAGATTAAGCTCCTTAAAGGCATGTACTGTCTCTTACAGACCATCTTCTCCTCTGCATCTAGCACAAAGGCTGCCAGTAGTAAGTATTCTACCCATTTGCTGCACGAATGAAGCATGCAATGATACTGACAAACTGACTGTTTGATATTGCTTTTATTTTATTGCCCCATAAAATGAATTGTCACAAGTCTAACTATAGAAATTTAAGTGGATTCTGAGGAAAAAAAAAAAAAATTGCTATCCACCTATACTATCCTTGGGGGACAGAAGTACAAGCGCTCTAACAGGCAGGCTTCTTTTTGCCTTATGTTTAAGCCCACTCTTATAATTAACTACCCATTTTTGATCAGAAATACCTTCAATATTACCAAACTGAGCTAATCTGTGAAATACAGAAATGATTATTTTATATTTCCTTACTTTTGGAGGATGCTATAAAACCAACTAAATGTTTACATTATCATTTGGCTTCCTTAAGGAAAAGTCACCACATTGACATAAAAAACAAGACAAAGGCAAAGAAAAATTCCAAAGTCTACTTACTTTCTATACTTCCTTAATCAAATGTCTGACTTCATGACTAAACTTGTTAGGCCTTTGATGGCTCTTACTACCAATATTTCCAAAAGAAAAATGCTAAATACACTCACAAATTGTAAACAAGGTTGCCATATTTTCCTTGTTTGAATTGGAGTCTTCCATTTGCAGTGAAGATGGTACAAAAGAAAGACTGTCTGAAGATACATCTACATGACCTGTCCCCATAGCAACCTCCGAAGTGATGGAGGAGACTGCCACAGGTTCTAGGCTGAGGCCAACTTCATGGAGGGAAACAGATTCTAGGGAGGCGAGGTTGTGTGAGGTAGAGAGTGCCACGCTTACAGAGTTGGTGCTCATGGCCACGGTGTGGATGGAGTCACTGAGGGTATTATCAGACATCCCGTTGACACGACTTGCAATGTGGTCTGTCTCCATGACCACAGGGAGGTCCAGGCCATTCCCATGAATGGGTATCACACCACTATGGCCTACAGTGTCTGCTGCAAGGTTGTTGCTCACAGAATCCACAGACAGAGGTTCATGACTTCTGGAGTCATTGGGGATTTGGGAATGTTCGCCTGCAACACCATCCATTGTAAGCTCCTCTGCCATTCCATCTGTAGAGATTGGGCTGGTAACCCTAGAAACGTTTTCCATAGTAATTGTTGTGTCCAATGCCACCTCATGGCCATCACTGGGATGAAGACTTTGGGTACCATGTGTATTCACAGAGCGAGAGTCTATTGAAACAATGCCTGGTTCTAATCCAACATTTCCATTAGACTGATACGGATCCAGTGCTGATGGGTTACTGGCGATAGATAATGCTGTATTACCATCAACATTTATAGAGTTGGGGTGGATATACTGAGGAGGAGGTCTGTCAGCTAAATAAGATAAAATGCCTGAGAAAGGAAAAGATGAGATATCAGGGACTTTTTGGTACATTGTTAAATATATAATCCTCTATCCACTTCTTCAGTTTAATCAATACATATACTTTATAAATAGCAACATACATACATAATGAGTATTCCCTGTGAAACTCTGTGTCTAAAAAAATTAACCTTACTCAGTTGATGTCAACTGAAAATTAATCATTTCCATGCTGCCTTTAAAATATAAATGAGTACAATTCCTGAGTCCTAAGATGCTAAAAATTTGCTGTACAAGAAATAATGAAAAGGTAAATGATTTAAAGGCAGATCTTTCACTGTGAAATATGAAATTTAACTGAATGTAATTACATTTTAAATGTTAAGGTACCATGTGATATATTAAGCTCTATCCAAAACAAGTCCCAATGGTACCTGCTTTATCAGAGCAAACAAAAAGAATTTTTTTTTTAGCATGTATGCTCATGAAGCTGTGGTAAAACTGTACTTGCTTCACTGCCAGTGGGAGTGTAAATTACTAAAGCCCATTTGGAACACAAGTTGCCAAAACCAAACTCATTGCCACTGAATCGATTTGATTCATAGTGACCCCTTGTTGGGTTTCCAAGGCAGAAACACTACGGAAGTAGATTGCCCAATCTTCCTTCTGAGGAGTGGCTGGTGGGTTTGAACCGCCAGCCTTCTGGTTAGCAGTCAAAGCCTTAGGCACTGTACCACCAGAGCTCCCCAATATGAAATTAAAAATCTTAAAAATGTTCCTACACACTTACACAAGAATTTCACTTATGGTAATCGACCCTAAGTATGTTTTGTAAATACTGCACAAAAAGATACTCATAAGTGCTTAGTTATAATGATAAACAAAATTGGAAAAACTAAAGCGTCCAACAAGACTGGTTTAATAATGGAACAACCATTCAGTTGAATGTAATACATCATTACAAAAGATAATTATTAAAACTATGTGCAACAGAGAAAATTATTAAGTGAAAAAAAGCAAAGACATACAATTGCATACAAAGTATGATCTTAATTATGACTAACAGGTAAAAACCTACACACTGAAAAAAAGACAAGAAGGAGGTATACCAAAAAGACAGGTGGCGAGATGAGAGTGGTTCTCTGCCTTCCCTCTTATTTTCTATTTGCTAAATTTTCTGAAATGTAAATTTAACACTTCTATAACAGAATAGGAAGGAAGGTTGGGCAATCCTACTTCCGTAGTGATACTGCCTCAGAAACCCAAGGAGGGGTCGCTATGAGTCGGGGCCGA